AGGACGTCTTTGTGCTAACCTAACAATCTCCGTCTTCCTTCTGAGCGGCCGGGTAGGAGTTCCCTGAATGGATATACCACAGTTCACTCCGCCGTGACCCAGTTGAGGGAACCGCAGGTGATTCCAGTGTCTCACTGGGGTGACCGGCCTCCTTGCGCAGGACTCGTGGTGTGTGTTTCTCTGGGTCAGAAAGTGTCAGTCCTCGGCACCACTGCGCCTCACCAGCGTCGAGGCCACAGGAACCCCCCCACTCTGTCTTGGAAGGGCGTTCCCGCTCAGACACCCCCACCAAAATTAGAGTCACACTTGGAGTGCAGAGAGGCCAGAGGCACCCTGGGCAGTGAGAGGCTGCATCCTCAGCCTGAGAAGCCTGCGTCCGCCCCGTGCAGCCCAGTTGAGGAGCCGGGGGTCCTCTCCCCCAGGACCCAGCCCCATCCTCGCGTCCTCCGCCCTGTCCCGCTCCGCTTGGTGCCGGCTCGGCAGGTAACTCGATCCAGGTCAGCTGGCGGGGTATGAGGTAGCGTCTCGCTGAGCGTCATGGTATTTTATTAAGCCCGAAATGTGATCGCTACTGTTGTCGCACTTCAGCGCCCCCAACAATCCCCAGCAGATGAGAAAACCAGAGCCTTCTCGCATGCCTTTCCCCTGACATCAGGGAAAGTGCAGGGAACCCTGCCCGGGGGGCCCGAGAGCCTGGGTGACCCCCCAGAGCAGCTTTCAAGCCTGAGGGAAGGACCGGGGGCCACTGGGCGGTGTTTTTCCAATTTCAGGCAAAGCAACGGACTGGGGGGAAATCTGCTATTAATTTCTCCTCGGTGCCTGGGTCTCGGAAGTCAGCACTGGCTTTTCAATACAGTCTTCGTTAACCTATTAGGATGGCGGGCCCTAGGATCCTTCTGTCTAGATGACATTGCTCTGGCTCAGGGGTCTCAAATGAGGATGCCCACGGGGGCCTAGGTGAGGCAAAGTGAGGAAAACCCAGTGGAGGCTGTGGATGGTCAGGACACAGGCATGCAAGCCCTGCCTTGCCAGAGCATGTAAATTCTCAAAGTAGCAGAAAATCTGGAGAGACGGAGAAAGAGCAAGAAGAAGGGAGAGAGAAAGGAAGAAGGGGAAGTGAGGGAGAGAGGTAGGGAGAGAGACGGCTGTTGCTCCAAAAAATGTTTTACTGTTTTAAGACAGTTTGGGCTACATGAGGTGCATCTCCTGGCCAGCTTGCAAGCTCTCCCCTAACTGAACCTGTCAACACAGCAGTGAAATTGTCCACCCTGTTCCTTTATCCTTCCGGAGCTGCGCTTCTGGTGGAATTTTCTGCAATGATGGGAAACGTGCACCATCCAGTATGGTAGCCGTTGGCTCCATTTGGCTACGGAGCCCATGAAATAGACCTAAGGAACTGAATTTTCTATTGAATTTTTAAACTTATTTATTTATCTTGGGCCGCACTGGGTCTTCACTGCTGCACACAGCCTTCTCTAGTTGTAGGCGGACACGGCTGAGCAACTTCACTTTCACTTTTCACTTTCATGCACTGGAGAAGGAAATGGCAACCCACTCCAGTGTTCTTGCCTGGAGAGTCCCAGGGACGGGGGAGCCTGGTGGGCTGCCGTCTATGGGTCGCACAGAGTCGGACACGACTAAAGCGACTTAGCAGCAGCAGCAGCGAACACAGGCTACTCTCTCGTTGCAGCGCTCAGGCTTCTCACTGCAGTGGCTTCTCTCGTTGCGAAGCCTGGGCTCTAGGGTGCGTGGGCTCAGTAGTTGGGGCACATGGGCTTAGTTGCCCCATGGCATGTGGGATCTTCCTGGAGCAGGGATCGAACCCTTGTCCCTGCATTGGCAGGCAGGTGCTCAACCACTGGGCCACCAGGAAAGTTCTCTATTTAATTCTAATTGACTAACTATAAAGAACCACATGTGGCTGATTGCTACTGTACTAGATAACGTGATTATAGAACCTTTTCAATTGGAGGTATGCCATCACAGCTCTTTAGGAAAGGACATGCCATCTCAGGGACGGGGATCAATTATACCAAGAGATTAGAATCCTGGGTGTGTGGAAAGAAAGGCGATATGGAATCATAAGTAGAAACGGTTTGGGTGTAAACCAGATGTCTGCTGGCTCAAACAGCGGTCACTCCATGCCCTCCCAGCTTTTCTTTTTCCCACTTTTTTGTACTACTGCTACTACTACTGGGGTCGCCTATGAGCGTCTGCCGTGTCCTTTGCCCTCTGGTCTGGCTGCCCTCTGCCCTCTGCCCAGGGCTGACCCCAAGGAAGCCCCTGGTGGACCCCCTGCTGCCGCTGCCATCCGGGCGTATCCACGCACTAGCCACCCTCAGGGACCTCAGACATGCCAGGTCCCGTGCCACAGGACCCCACAAGTCCTACTTTGTCGCTGCCCCAGGACTGTGGGGAAAGCAGGCCAGGGACTCTGGGCACAAACCTCTTTCCAAGCCAAAGGCTTCAGCAAACCCCCTTCCAGTCCACAGCCCCTTGAGGAGGCCAGGGAGGGATCAGCGCCACACCACCCCTTCTTCTAGGTTCCGACCTTGGTCCCCACAAAGCCGCCCAGGCTTCCCCAGGTGCGACTGTCCCCACCCTGCCCCCTGTGTCTCCATGACAACCAGGTTCCCTCTGTGTATCTTTCACAAGTGATGGGAAGGTGGTCCCATTATCCCCCAGCAAAGCTCCTGTCCTCAAAGATAAATTCCAGCCTCCTCCTTGTGTAAAAAGAAATCTGCTAAAAATGTTGATAGCACCATCTTTTTCCCCAGCGTGTCTCCTCCTGTCAGGAGTCCAGGGATGTAAGAACCAGTTTTTTTCTCAGAGGTCAGGCTCAGAGTTCCATTTGTGTCTCCTCTCTCTAACAGTCTTTACTAGGAGGTCTCTACCCCCATGAAATTGTCTTGCAAAAACCCCAATGCCAATGTTTACAAATCGTAGCACAATAATCAAAGCTACCATTTATTTAGCAGCAGGCGTTTCTTCTCTCTTCAGCCGTGTAAGCAGGTTCCGGTATTATCTCCATTTGCCAGTCTGACCTCTGAGGTTCAGGATGGCTGTGTCATTTGCTCAAGGTCACACGGCTAGGCAGTGGTTGGATCCAGGATCCAAACCCAGGCGATCAGATTCCAGAGCCTGAGCTCTAGTCAGTACCATGGTGGCAAGCCCAGCGCACTCGTGATTCTTGCCTTATGGGTCTTTCACCTGAATGTACTTTATGATGGAGGTGAGCTCTCGGTGGGACTTGCACGTGGCTTCCTTGGGGACACTGGCATCACTCTTGCCTCTTGCTTGCCAATTGCAGGAAGCCCCTCTCCACTTCCTTAAACAGAAAAGTCCGTGTATTCCTTTCCTGTGACGGCTGTACAAATTCCCACACACTTAGTGGCTTAAAACAACACCGTTCTAGAGGTCAAACGTCCAAAATCAATTCACTGGGCCAAAGATGTCGGCAGAGCTGGTTTCTTCTGGAGGCTTTGAGGGGAGAAACTGTTTCTTTGCCTTTTTCGACTCCTGGCAGCTACCTGTATTTCTTGGCTTGTGGCCTCTTTCTCCACCTTCAATGCACCTCAGTCCAGTTCTCTTCTCTGTCATCAAATAATACCCCTCTGCCTCTTACTTGCAAGGACCCTTGTAATTAAATTCAGGACCCAACCAGCTTACTCTCCCCATCTCGAGATGGTTAACTTAATCACATTTACAGAATTCCTTTTGCCCTGTAAGGTTCCTGGGATTAGGACATAGCACACCTTTGGGGGGCTGTGGTTCAGCCTACTGTAGTGGTCAGGGTGGCCTCCTCTCAGTTGCGGCAGGATAGGGCGAGTCATGTGATCGAAGTTCATCCCTCTCTCCAGCTCCCAGACCTGCCTTCCTCTAACAGCCCCAGGCTTAACCCCACCATCCAGCAGCCGCAGGGAAAGGAGAGCTCCTCTTTCGCAAAAGCCCCAGGGCTGGTTCTCATTGGTCCATCTGAGACCACACCCTCATCTCTGAAGCCATCACTGTGGCCCGAGGACCCTGGGTCTCTCTGATTGGCTGAACCTGGGTCAGGTGCCCACCAATGTCATCCCCTCCTCTCCATCTTAACGGCCATGTGTTGAGGTGTTTCTGCAAAGAGAACTGAGAGATGTATGAGTGGTGGCCGGCAGCTTGTTACTAAAATCTGTTGAATGGCCAGCGCTTGAAAGGGTAACCTGGCACATAGTAGAAGTGAAGTTGCTCAGTCGTGTGTGACTCTTTCCGATCCCGTGGACTGTAGCCTACCAGGCTCCTCAGTCCGTGGAATTTTCCAAGCAAGAGTACTGGAATGGGCTGTCATTTCCTTCTCCAGGGGATCTTCCCGACTGGGGGATCGAACCCAGGTCTCCTGCATTGCAGACAGACAGACGCTTTACCCTCTGAGCCACCAGGGAAGCCCAAACTATATGCCTGGCACATAGTAAGTGCTCAGTAAATGATGGTCACAGATGGTGGGACACAGAGGGGAGCTTGGGCAGGGGGCATCTCCTGAAGCTAATGCTTGAAGAATGCAAGGTTCACTAAGCAGCGGAAAGCAGAGAGCCCTCCACACAGAGGAAACACCTTGAACAGAACAGAGGCTTCCACTGTATGGCCATGGTATCCATAGGTCCTGGTGTGCCTGGGGACAGAGGGAAATTGGATTGGTCCTATTTTGTGCCTGCCCTCCCAGTGTATTACTAATAGCAGCCCCCTTTACACTGCAGAACTGTCAGGGTGTGCATGATAAATTACACAGTCATCACCACCCCTTATAGCCAACCAGCTCCTTCGTAAGGAAACCAAAGGCAGAAGAGGATGAGACTTACCCAAGGTTACCCAACCTTTAGTAGCAAAGTCTGGACTAGAATTCAGGACTCCTGACTCCCAGTGCAGTGCTCCTTCACCCTCCAGCTTATGAAATCAGCTCTCAAAGGCTGCATCAGCTTCACCAGTCACATATCTCCCTTTTTCTCTTCTTGCCAAATTCTCCATAGGATTGTGACCAGATCCACGTGGACGATGTCTCATCTGATGACAATGGGCAAGATTTAAGGTAGGAATTCGGGGAGTCAAAAATGCCCCTTTGGATTGAGAATCAAGCTTGCCTATCCCTGGGATGCAGAGAGGAGGCTGGTTATCAGGGCAGGGTGTGCCTGCCTCCACCATAGTAGGAACTTGTGTTTCTCTGAACTCAAAAAGCACAACCGTGCCCCCGACCCTGCAGCTTTTCTTCCACATCATCTCAAATCACTGGGGCTGAGCTTTCCACAAATTCCCTGTGACAGTGCTTCTGCTTATCTCTTTGTGGGTCTTTTTTTTCCCTTGCTTACTAAAGTAATGCATGCATGAGGGCATGGGTTCAGTCCCTGGTCAGGGAACTAAGATCCCACAAGCTGCATGCGCACGGCAAAAAATAGAGCATTAAAATAGTCTAAAAACAGAATAAAGGAATGCATGCATATTGTAAAAACTGTCATACATCACTTCTAATCTTGCCTCCCAGAATCACTACCATCAAGAATTTAGTTCATGTTTTTCCAAGGATTGACTGCACTTATTAACATATATATACATATATATTATTTAGTATAAGATCGACACAGTCAATACTCAAAAATATTTCTTGAATGAATAAATGGTATGTTGGTTTCTAGGGGAAACACTCCTAGGACATGAATTCCAGAAATAAGGTCCCCAACTGCTCAAAATGAGACAGCTTTCTGAAGAATGTGGCTGAGGAATGTTCCAAGCCTGCCCATTATAAAAACAGAACCCTCGTTAATCTGTGCTTATCAAAATGATCACAATTCAGCACCTCTCGGCCCATCAAAAGTATTGTGAGACCAAAACAATGTTTTGCTTGTGGGCCGTTCGTAGTAATTTTGCTTAGCATTAGCTTCTGAGATGTGTCTTCCAACTTACTCCAAAAAAAGAAATCAAAGTTTCTGTTACTGAGCCCTGCAAGTCTTTTCAAAGCCTCACACAATTAGAAGTGATCGGTGGACATCGCCTACTTCGCTTTAATTAGCCATTCAGAAAATCCTCTGCAGTCAGGCCTGGCCAGGACCAGGCTCCAGTGCCCGCCAGGACTGCTCAATTTATGGAGTAAATAAATCCCAGATCAAGGCTAATTGTGTCCTTTCCATGAAGTCATCCCTGGGAACCACTCTCCCTTTCAAAGCAATGAGCAACCAGTGTTCCGTTTTCATCCTTTCTGCTGTAGCAGCTGGCTTGGAATCAAAAGCAGTGCCCCTCTGAACCCTGACTCAAGCTGAGCTTTTGGTACCTCACTTCAAGAATGCACAATCCAAGGGTGTTTTTTGCCCCTAGGAGCCAAATTCCCCATGTGTTCATTCAGGAAATATCTGTTACAGACCTACTGTGTGCTGGGCATCAAATGCCCCCCCCCTTTTTTTTTCTCAGTTATTGGTAAAAATGGAGACTTCCCTGGTGGACCAATGGTTAAGACTCTCTGCTTCCAAGGCAGGGTCACAGGTTTGATCCCTGGTTGGGGAACTAAGATCCCACGTGCCACAAAGGTGGCCAAAAAATGATTAATTAAAAAAAAAAAAACCCCAACAGTAAAAACCAGCAGTGGTACTGTCCTTATCTTGCGCCATGCCCTGTTCCAGATGCTTCATGTGGCTTACCTCATTGCACCTTCACAGCAATTAGGAAAAAGTGGCTCTTATCATCCTCATGTTACACTGGGGAATGGGAGGTTCAGAGAGGTTAAGTAACCTGCCCGACCTGACACAGCTGATAAGTGGGAGAGGCAGGATTCATGGACACCCTGCCCTGCCCTCCACCTCTTGGCAGAACATCCAGCCATCTCCCCTGGGTGTCCTCTGAGTTTCGAGTCAGCGTTTTTCGAGAGTAAATCCTCTAGCCTTTCTGCACTACCCAGGGAGGGGCTACTGGTGGCTACCAATCCCAGAGCTGACACCTGCGTATCCAGGAGGCTCTCAGGTTAACCCGCCCACCGCTGCTCTGCGCAGCAGACTCTCCTCGGAGCCGTCCCTACAATACCAAGGGAGCTTCCCCAGCGGGTCTGATGCAGTGGATACTGATCCATCTGCACGTGCGTGGTACCATCTCCTGTGAGTACCCAGGAGGTCTTGCCTGATCTCTGCTTCTCCAGGGATCCAGAAGAGTTTGAAAAAGAACAAGCCACTTTTGAAAAGGAGGAATGTTAGGGTGAAGGGATGCTCCAGCCCCCAAGTTCACTGCCACTCAACCAAGGTCACAGACTGGTCTAAAGTCACACAGATGCCCTCTGTGCCTACTGGAGACTGCAGTGCTCCGACCACTGGATGGGAACTGGTCTGAAGCTGTTCTTCCACAGACTCTTAAAAAAAATGGAAAAGAGGTTGATAGAAATTAAATAAAAAAGCAAAATTCTCTAGCAAGGTGAGAACCTTGACAGTAGAGAGGAAGGAGCATATGGCAAAAAGCGTGGGTTCTTGGGACATATGATTCTCCTTAGGAACAAGATTTGTATTTCAAACCTTATGAACATTCCCTCTTATAATTTGTCTTCCTAGGGACATGGTCATTGTAGTGTAATTTATCAAAACCACTGACTTTCATAAAAAAATATGTATTTTCCCAACGTGTGCAAAAAAATTATAGTTGAATATCACTCATCAGGCTGCTCATATCAGTGGTTTTAAATACTACTCCAAAATGTGAAACTTAAATTTCAGGAAAAAGTGTCTTAATATTTTTCATAAAATATTGTGAAATATCCAAAATATTTTCCCTTACTGTGTCAATTGAAAAAAACTCATAAAATTCCCTTTACTTGATAAAACTAATGAGTTAAAAATCTAAAAAATATCCAGAGTAAGAGACCTCACATACAACAAGCTATGTAATGATTTCCATTTAATATTAGTCACAGTGGTTGTCACTCAGATAAGAAGTAACCTTGTATTTATCCAGATACCCAATGAAGCAAAATTCTCAGGTGGAAAAAGAAAAAGTGTCGGTTCTAGAAAAGAGGAACCCTGATGGGATAAAGTCACATAGCTCCTTTCTCATCAGGTTAAGAATGCGCTCAAAAAGTGCCCAGCGCAGTGAGTAACCCTTAGTAAATGGCTGTCCGTTTGATTAGATGTTGTCTGCTCCCTTTCACTAGTTGGGCGTATTTTATTTCTCTTTAGCCCCTGATCACTGCCACCCAAGGGAGGGGCTGAGAAAAAAGCAATAGCAGCACCTCTGTGTAGCAAACCCACTGGCATCTTTTGTGGGAAAGAGGAAGGATTCCATGATTTCACTTCCCAGTCCTCAGGGGAGATGGTCCCAGCTCGTGCAGGACTTTTGGGGCCAGCATCCACTGCGTCAGACCCGCTGGGAGGCTCCCTTGTGGTTCAGGGGTGGTGGGGAGGAGAGTCTGTGCTAACACAGAGCAGTGGTGGACGGGTTAACCGAGAGCCTCTGGGAGACGCAGGTGTCAGCTCTGGGACCAGCATCACGCAAGCAAGTTGTTAGAACAGCCACATCTTATCTCCATGCAGAAAACATTTTTTAGTAACCTTCTCAAGATCTCAGAAGTTACTATGTTAAATACCATGATATCAAGCTAGTGGTCAAGCACGTTAATTACACACAATCTGTATTTATATTTTATTTATTTTTTATTTTTTTGGTCATGCTACTCAGCTTACGAGATCTTAGTTCCCCAACCAGGGATTGAACTCACACCCTCAGCAGTGGAAGCATGGAATCCTAACCACTGGACCACCAGGGAATTCCTCCTCTTTTTAAATCTGAGTAATTCAGTAAAAAGCAGACAAGAGACTGTGATCACCCCTATTCCTACCATCTCCAACTCACCACTTGGTGATATTACGACTTACTTGCTTCCAATCTTGTACACACTCACAAATGTCTGTGAAAAATGACCCAGGTGAATGTGTTCGTGTGTGTGTGTGTTTATGGACATATGGGCAAGAATTTATCTGAAGAACAGCTTCTGTCAGCCCGCTGGTATCTCTGGGATTGTCCATCCAACCTCCTCTGGAGAGAATCCCAGCGTCTGCAGCTGAGCCCTTTCAGATTAAGTCACCCCAGTCAGTGTTCTCCTGGGCCGCCTGCCCCAGTGGTGAAATTTGCTTTCGAATTTGAGGCATCACACAAGGCATCTCTGTGGATCCTGCAGGGGTTTTGTCGTCTGCAGTTTGATATTCAGGCTGATCCCCACACACAGGAGAGAATGACCCAGCGCTTCACATTTCCAAATTCCCTTTTCTCTGTCGCAGCACTGGCGTTGAACTGGGAATACCTAAGGTACAATTCCCCAGTGTTGTTTCATTCCTAGTGCATCACGTCTCCACCCCTAAACTCATCACAGAAAATCCAGAAAGAACAAAATAATAGGAAGAGAAAAACGTCAGCCAACCCCCCCAATGAGAGGCCCTGGTACCACGCTGAGCTGCTCCCCACCCCCCACCCAAGCCTCCTCTCTCTGAAGAGACCTTCACTTTGGAAGTTTTTGGTCCACACACTGCCTTGTGACATCCCATGATTTTGCAGACCTGTACCAGGCTTCCGGTGGAGGGAAAGAAAATGGTGTTCCATGAGAGCTGAGGTTTTCCCTCTCACGCTGTAGCTGCTGGAGGTGACGAATTGCCCACAACTCCCCCTTCTGGTTCCCAGCTGCCATCCTGTCATTAACTTCCTGTGACGCTCTGATGTGTCCCCAGGGCATGCTTCATGCTGAAGGAGGGTTCTGTCTGCAAAGTACCAGCAATCGACTCTGCCTGAGTTTTTCTCTTTTTTTTTGGCTTCAGCATTGTGCACAGGCTTTCTCCAGTTGGGGCAAGCAGGGGCTACTCCTCACAGAGCGCAGGCTTCTCATTGAGGTGGCTTCTCTTGTTGTGGAACACTGGCTCTAGCCTGCGGGTTCAGTAGCTGTGGCCTGGGGACGTAGGTGCTCTATAGCATGTGGGATCTTCTGGGACCAGGGATTGAACCTGTGTCCCCCGCATTGGCAAGTGCATTCCCAACCACTGGGCCACCAGAAAAGTCTGATTCTGCCTAGTTTAAAAGATAAAATTAACGTAGGGAATGCCTATAGAAAGATATAGAGACGCTCACAGCATAGGGGAAAAGGGTTAGCAGCCAGGCCTTTCGAGGCATGTGAAGCAGGGCAGATTTGGGGATCAGAGCATCAAGAGCTCACTGGTGTTTTCTTTTGGACCCTTCTCTCGGGGTGAACCGAGGCCAACCACTTTTTGGAATTGCCTTTCCAGCTTCAGATTCCAAAGTGGGGGAGAGAGAGGCTTTCCTTGGCTTGGCCACTGCATGCAGGGTACAGAATGACTGCCCCTCAAAAAAAAAAAAAAACAAAGATGTTCTTTGATACCAGAAGGAAAGAGAATGGATGCTGCCTGGGCAGGAGCAGAGGATGCCACCATTGTTCAGGAAATTAATGAAAGCTCTGACCCTGCTTCTCCCAGAATGCACTCAGAGCATCCTCACACGTTCGGGGACATAGTCAAACATTAGCCCACCCACAGGTCTCCTGGTGAGAAGCTCCCACCTCCCCACAGTAACCCTGTCTCTTCTCCCTCTTCCGTCTCCCCAGCACCTACAACTTCTCCGCCGATGGCTTCCACAGTTCGGCCCCGGGAGCCAACCTGTGCCTGGGCTCCGGCGTGCACGGCGGCGTGGACTGGATGAGGAAGCTGGCCTTCCGCTACCGGCGGGTGAAGGAGATGTACAACACCTACAAGAACAACGTCGGCGGTGAGCGGGCCGGGGAGAGGGCCGTCGACGGTGCTCGGAGGGTCTGCCTGCCTGGGCCTCGGGCGCACCCCTGGACCAAGGGGAACTCATCAAGAATGGATGCTGTCACTCACACCCCACCTGCTCGGCACCAGGCTCCAAGAGGCTCACAAACCCTGGCTCACCTGGGGTGGCCCTCATGACGCCCTCTGGGAGAGGGCGCTAGGATCTCATCATCCCCACTTTGGGTCTGGGGAAGCGGAGGAAGAGATGACATGTCCTGCCCATGCATGATCACGCCTCCAGCCCCACCATGGTTCTCCACCTCTGGTCCTCGGACCGGCAGCCTCAGGGTCACCCGGAGCCTTGTTGGAAATGCAGATTCTGTGGTCCCCACCTCAAACCTGTCAGATCAGCAGCTCTGGGGCGGGCCTGGCCCTCTGCATCTTAGCTGGCACTCCAGGTGATTCTGCTGCTTGTTGAAAGGTTGAGGACCACGGGCTTCAGCCCTCACCACTGAGATTGTGGCCCCTGGAGCAGCCACAGGAGCATCACCTGGGAGCTTGTGAGAAATGTAGACTCCCAGGCCCCTCCCAAGGCAACTGAGTCAGATCTCTGTCTTTAGCAAGATTCCCAGGTGATTCGTGAAAACACTGGTTCACAAGCTTGGCTCATATTGGAACCCCCTGAGGAATTTCCCCTTCTGCTTTTCTTGGCCTGGCTGCCGTTTGGCATTGGGACCTACTGAATTCCCTGGGCGATTCTACTGTGCAGCCAAGTCGTGAAAGTTCCAGTGGCGGGAGAGCGTTGGCTTATCAGAAACCTGGAAGGGGCTGGAGGCAGGGTGGGTTCACCAATGACCAGGCCCTTGATCACTATTTCTGGAATTCTCTAAGCCTTTGACTCTGAACAGGTGAGACTGCTTCTCCCCCAGGAGGCAAGTGGGGATGTTTTTTTATTATCACGGTGTCTCTAACCAGCTACTGGCCAGTAAAGGGAATTAGATTTGAGTAGGCAGATAATAGAATCTGCCATCTACACCTTGACCCCATTCCCAGAAATAGAGTCCCAGGAAGAATTCAGGGTCTCCAACTGAACAGAACCCACTTCTGGTCCCACCGCTGCCACTTTCTAACTCCCTGAGCCTTAGTTTCTGAAGTCTGTGAGATGGGGATAAAAATAATTCTGCTTCCCTAGTGACTGAAAGGTTTGTTGTTAATGCATACAAAAGGCAGGACTCTGTGCCTGGAATACAGCAGGCACTCAGGAAACAGTAGCATTTATCACTAGTTCCTTTCAGTTTTGCTTGAGAGTCTTTTAGATTGTTCTCTGTTGTCTGCTTTCTGCGGATAGACCATCAGTTCTTCAGGAGAGATTTTCTGTCTTGTCTGAGGCTGCAGTCCTGGCAATAGCCAATGTTTCTTGAGCATTTCCTCCATGCTAGGCTCTGTTATGAAGGCTTTTTGTCTAAAATTAATTGTTGTTTTGCTCTTCACAGCATCTCTGTAATGTAACAGCTTCCTTTTAAATAATTTTTCTATGTATTTATTTTGGGCTGTGCTGGGTCTTCACTGCGGCACGGGCTTTCTCTCTGCTTGCAGAGAGCAGGGGGCAACTCTCGAGTTGTGATGCGAGGGCCTCTCATGGCGGGGCTTCTCGTTGCAGAGCACCGGCTCCTGGGCCTGTGGGCTTCAGTAGTTGCGGCTCCTGGGATCTAGAGCACAGGGTCAGTAGTTGTGGCGCATGGGCCTGGTTGCCTGGTGGCATGTGGGATCCAGATCAGGGATCGAACCTGTGTCTCCCACAATGGTAGACGGATTCTTCACGACTGAGCCACCAGGGAAGCCAGGTATCAGTTTTTATCACGCATGTTGTATGAAGGTGGAAACTGCAGTCAGAGAGGTCGAGTAAGGCACCCAGGGTCTCACAGCCCAGGCGACAGAGCCGGTCCTGGGCCGGTGACTCCTCCACCTCTGCCCACACTTCATGGCCTCTCACGTCCAAACCTGTCAGCCTCGGGGCCGGCCCTGCCTGCTCACCCATCTCTGCACACAGACGGAGGGAATCGGGTGTGCTTGGGGTAGGGGCGACAGGGACCAAGTCAGCCAACAGAGGCCCTCGGGTCCTCATCCAAGTAAAGCCCCAGGAAATGCCCAGGGCATCTGTCAGGCTGTTCTGCTTTCCCCTCAGCTCAGGGGAAATTATCTGGTGTATCAACAGGCAAGGAGCTGGCGGCTGGCAGAACACCGGTGGGCGGCCCCCTTCCTGCTGCCCCTTCTGTATCACAGAACTAGCCCAGTGAGGGCTGCGACCTCCAGCCCGGGGTCACCATAGACGGCAGCATCCTAAGGGTTTCAGTAAGTGTGTCTGAAAAAGAGTAAGATACAGGATGCAAAGAGAAAACGCTTAATAAGTCAGCATCCGGGAGGTAGTGAATGATCAATCCATCCACTGAGCCTATCAGTCAATCTCAAAATAAAATTAAGGTCACTGGATTGCAGTTGACCTTGGGTGTCACCTGACTTGAAACCTCAAACTACAGTAGCTCGACTCTCTTTCCGTCAGCCTGCTCCCCCCAAACCTCTAAAATGATAACTATTATCTTTTCTCGCTTTGTCCACAGGCTTGATAGGAGCTCCCAAAAGAGAGACCTGGCTACAGCTCAGAGCTGAGCTGGAAGCTCTGACCGATCTCTGGCTGACCCACTCTCTGAAGGCACTAAACCTCATCAATTCCCGGTAGGTGGGAGCCCCCATTTTTTCTTTGTGCCACTGAACTTTCTCCCATTCGAGGCTGGTGGCCCCTCCACTTCCATACTGGGACAATCGGACTCCCCAAATTCTCTCTTGCACACTTTCCAGACATTTGATAAAGCTGGGATGTGCCCGCACCATGGACACCTTATCCCATAGATGAGCAGATAGCTGCAGAGACTCAGGCAGGGGCCCGCAGAGCTGAAGACTTCTGTCCATAGGTCTGTCTTCTCCCGTCTTCTCTTGCCCACGACACCCTGCAGCCACAACATCACCCTGTGAAAACCATTTTATAGGATGCCACAGTTCACCTGGCGGGCCCTTAGTGAGGTCAGGAGAGTCCAATTTCCAATTTATTAGGCCTCCTAATAAATTGCCTCTTGCTCTAAAAAAAAAAAAAAATCACCTGTGGCAGAGAACAAATTACTCTGTACCAACAGCATAATTCTTATGACCCAACATAAGAATGGGTTACAAACTTATGAATGGGTTACCCAACTTATGAATGGTTACAAAATGGCAGCCCATGAGCTGAATCCATCCTACTGATGCATTTTGTCTGATACACACTTGGCCCCAAAGACAGGGAAGATTAATCCATAACTGCAGGTTCTGAGGATGTCAGGGGTCAGAACCCGCACGTGCTTTCCAGTTTACCCCGGTCCTCACTTCTCCCTGCTGTCCTGCACTAGTTCAGTACCACTCAGGTACATTTCCAGTAGGTCCCTGCAGCTATTTTAGTGACCTTTGCAATAAACATTTGATTTGTAAATAGAAGTATTATACTTGTATTCAATTTTAATGTGTCAGGCAGGCTTAAAAGAGGGGAATGGCTGGAGGATACTGGAGCTCCAGCCACCGTCACCTGAAGATGACTTAGCCAGAGCCTCAAACCTCACCAGAATTCCCACTGACTCCAGGCTCAGCTACAGAACTCCTTGTGCTATCCCGGAGTTCTGACCCACAGTCTTCTTTGTCCTCAGGCCCAATTGTGTCAACGTGCTAGTCACCACCACTCAACTAATTCCTGCCCTGGCCAAAGTCCTGCTGTATGGATTGGGTTCTGTGTTTCCTATTGAGAACATCTACAGTGCAACCAAGACAGGTAAGGGGAACCTGGACCTATAGACGGGAAGGGTTAAGGTCAATTTTGCCTGCCGGGATGAGAGGTTTAATGACATGAGGGAACTTAAAGAATTTGTCCAGAGGCATGACCAAACTCCCCAAACCACCCTCATAACTCACTGGGATTAACCTCTGATCTAGAGAAATTGCTTAGTTTTGGAGTTTTCCAAAGTGTATTAGTAAAGATATGCACAAAGCTGCTATTAACAAATACCCACAAACACAAGGGTTTAATTACATTAGTGCATGTGTGCATGCTAAGTCGCTTCAGTCGTGTCTGACTCTTTGCAACCCTGTGGACCACAGCCGACCAGGCTCTTCTGTCCATGGGATTCTCCAGGCAGGAATACTGGAGTCGGTTGCCATGCCCTCCTCCAGGGGATCTTCCTGACCCAGGGATCGAACCTGCATCTTTTGTGTCCTGCATTGGCAGGCAGGCTCTTTACCACTAGCCCCACCCTTGGGACGACCCTAATTACATTAGGGCCAAAGCTAATATCTCTCAGATGTCAAACAGACCAGAGGCGAGTGATCCAGGCTGATGGGGTGATTCTGTTCTCATATTCACCCAGGAAGCCAGGTTCTTCCCATTTTATTTTCCCATTATCATCCCTTCTAATTTTATTCTCATCAGTTCAGTTCAGTCACTCAGTTGTGTCCAACTCTTTGTGACCCCATAAACCGCAGCACGCCAGGCGTCCATTACCATCACCAACTCCCAGAGTTTACCCAACTCATGTCCATTGAGTTGGTGATGCCATCCAACCATCTCATCCTCTGTCGACCCCTTCTCCTCTGTCCTCAATCTTTCCCAGCATCAGGGTCTTTTCAAATGAGTCAGCTCTTCACATCAGGTGGCCAAAGTATTGGAGTTTCAGCTTCAACATCAGTCCTTCCAGTGAACACCCAGGACTGATCTCCTTTAGGATGGACTGGTTGGATCTCCTTGCAGTCCAAGGGACTCTCAAGAGTCTTCTCCAACACCACAGTTCAAAAGCATCAATTCTTCGGCGCTCAGCTTTCTTTACAGTCCAACGCTCACATCCATACTTGACTACTGGAAAAACCATAGCCTTGACTAGACGGACTTTTGTTGACAAAGTAATGTCTCTGCTTTTTAATATGCTGTCTAGGTTGGTCATAACTTTCCTTCCAAGGAGAAGCGTCTTTTAATTTCATGGCTGCAGTCACCATCTGCAGTGATTTTGAAGCCCAAAAAAATAAAGTCTGTCACTGTTTCCACTGTTTCCCCATCTATTTCCCATGAAGTGATGGGACCAGATGCCATGATCTTAGTTTTCTGAATGTTGAGCTTTAAGCCAACTTTTCACTCTCCTCTTTCACTTTCATCAAGAGGCTCTTTAGTTCTTCTTCACTTTCTGCCATAAGGGTGGTGTCATCTGCATATCTGAGGTTATGGATATTTCTCCCAGCAATCTTGATTCCAGCTTGTGCTTTCTCCAGCCCAGCGTTTCTCATGATGTACTCTGCATATAAGTTAAATAAGCAGGATGACAATATACAGCCTTGATGTACTCCTTTTCCTATTTGGAATCAGTCTGTTGTTCCATGTCCAGTTCTAAACTGTTGCTTCCTGACCTGCATACAGATTTCTCAAGAGGCAGGTCAGGTGGTCTGGTATTCCCATCTCTCAGAATTTTCCACAGTTTATTGTGATCCACACAGTCAACGGCTTTGGCATAGTCAGTAAAGCAGAAATAGATGTTTTTCTGGAATTCTCTTGCTTTTTTGATGATCCAAGGATGTTGGCAATTTGATTTCTGGTTCCTCTGCCTTTTCTAAATCCAGCTTGAACATCTGAAAGTTCATGGTTCACGTATTGCTGAAGCCTGACTTGGAGAATTTTGAGCATTACTTTACTAGTGTGTGAGATGAGTGCAATTGTACAGTAGTTTGAGCATTCTTTGGGATTGCCTTTTTTGGGGATTGGAATGAAAACTGACCTTTTCCAGTCCTATGGCCACTGCTGAGTTTTCCAAATTTGCTGGCATATTGAGTGCAGCACTTTCACAGCATCATCTTTCAGGATTTGAAATAGCTCAACTAGAATTCCATCCCCTCCATTAGCTTGGTTCGTAGTGATGCTTTCTAAGGCCCAGTTGACTTCACATTCCAGGATGTCTGGCTCTAGGTGAATGATCACACCATCATGATTATCTGGGTCATGAAGATCTTTTTTTGTACAGATCTTCTGTGTATTCTTGCCACCTCTTCTTAATATCTTCTGCTTCTGTTAGGTCCATACCATTTCTGTCCTTTATTGAGCCCATCTTTGCATGAAATGTTCCCTTGGTATCTCTAATTTTCTTGAAAAGATCTCTAGTCTTTCCCATTCTATTGTTTTCCTCTACTTCTTTGCACTGATCACTGAGGAAGGCTTTCTCTCTCCTTGCTATTCTTTGGAACTCTGCATTCAAATGGGTATATCTTTCCTTTTCTCCTTTGCTTTTTGCTTCTCTTCTTTTCACAGCTATTTGTAAGGCCTCCTCCGACAGCCATTTTGCTTTTTTGCATTTCTTTCTCTTGGGGATGGTCTTGATTCCTGTCTCCTGTACAGTGTCATGAACCTCCATCCATAGTTCATCAGGCTATCTGTCTATCAGATCTAGTCCCTTAAATCTATTTCTCACTTCTACTGTATAGTCATAAGGGATTTGATTTAGGTCATACCCAAACGGTCTAGTGGTTTTCCCTACTTTCTTCAATTTAAGTCTGAATTTGGCAATAAGGAGTTCATGATCTGAGCCACAGTCAGCTCCCGGTCTTGTTTTTGCTGACTGTATACAGCTTCTCTATCTTTGACTGCAAAGAATATAATCAATCTGATTTCAGTGTTGGTCATCTGGTGATGTCCATGTGTAGAGTCTTCTCTTGTGTTGTTTATTCTCATGTATATAGTCAAATCAGAATCTGCCATATTGTCATTCCAGCTTATGGGAAGGGAGAAAAGAGGAAGGAGTGATACACGCACGTCCAGTATTCTAAAAATACCACCAGGGGCGGGGTTTACCTCTACTCACCTTCTATTGGCCCAGCTTGGTCACGTGGCCACAACCAGTTGCCAGGGAATCTAGGAAATGTAGTCCACAGCTAAATGACCATAGCTTCTGCTGCTGCTAAGTCACTTCAGTCGTGTCCGACTCTGTGTGACCCCACAGATGGCAGCCCACCAGGCTCCCCCATCCCTGGGATTCTCCAGGCAAGAACACTGGAGTGGGTTGCCATTTCCTTCTCCAGCGCATGAAAGTGAAAAGTGAAAGTGAAGTCGCTCAGTCTTGTCCGACTCTTAGCGACCCCATGGACTGCAGCCTACCAGGCTCCTCCGTCCATGGGATTTTCCAGGCAAGAGTACTGGAGTGGGGTGCCATTGCCTTCTCTGACCATAGCTAAGCCCCGGTAAAACTCAGGAAATTCTATTACTAAGAAAGAAGAGGAAAACATTTCCCACCCCAGGATGGTACATAAGGTGGTTTTATTTTAGGTAGTACATTAAATAACCTAACCTTGAACCCACACAGAAGACTGTCGATTTTTTAATGCTCTTTAAAGAAGAGTGTCTCAGTTTAGTGTTATCCTGTTTCAACAACTTTTTCATATTTGCTAATCTCCCTTATTAACAGAGAAAACACCTTAGGCTCAGAGCTTTCATCAAATAAGAAAATTCAGGAACTAGAAATGGAGAGCAGCATTTGTCATCAGGACAAGTAATACTGGTTTTTCTGGGGGAGAGGTAGAGAGGCACTGTGTTTTGATTTGTGTGTGGGGGTGTGTGTATCACCTAAAATGGTATAATAATACTAAATCTAGTTAAGGTGTTTTTAATGAGACATTTTTACCTGTGTTTGTTTTCTGGAGCAAAAATCAATTTATAATATATACTTTGGAAGCATTTCCTTAGAGCAGAGCCTTTACTAAAGTTCTAGATCAGAGATGGCTAGGACTAGATGTCCTTCAGTGCTCAGGGTAGCAAAGAAATTAGCCAGCCCAAAACATCAGGAACACCGAGGCTGAGAAATGCGGATGGAGGTGAAGTGCTGAGCAGGCGCCAGCATAGAGTCACAGCTGTCACTATTAGCACGCTTCTTGTTATGATGGTCGTTCCGAAACTTGCCAACAAGGTCGGGATGAGCTAAGATCTGAATTCAGTGCAGGATTGATGCTGCTGCCTGGCCACCTGGGACGAAGGAAAACATGAAAAGATGGTCATCTATACGAAACAAGAGAAAAACAAACCGGGGAATCACACAAGGGCCACTCTGGCGCCAGGCTGCCCACCCTTGGACACATGAAGCCCAACACTTCTGCCTCCTAACCCTGGGACCCTGGGCAGATCGCCTCACCTCTCGGGGCTTCATGTCTAATCTGTAAAACGGGTCCATCGCTCTTACACCAGACAGCTGCATAGACACCAGAGCTTGTTTCAAACCCCTGCTCTGCTTTCTGCTGGGTCCTCGTGGACCAGCCTCTTAACCTCTCTGGGCCTCTGTCTTGTCGTCCCGTCGCCTGGGGACAGGGACACCTCCAGGTTTGCTCGAGGATGAAATGACTCATCCCAGGTCCTTAGGAAGACGGCTGCATGAAGGAAGCTCTTAATTAGCAGTGATTATCCACCACAGTCTCGGGTCCTCACCAAGCATCTTCCTTTCCTTCCATTCATGCAGGGAAGGAGAGCTGCTTCGAGAGGATAATGCAGAGGTTCGGCAGAAAGGCTGTCTACATCGTGATCGGCGACGGCGTGGAAGAGGAGCAGGGAGCCAAAAAGGTACTTTGTCCACACAGCTCTCAGGGCGCTTCCCCCTCCTCTGTTGAGCCTGTCTCCCTTCCAGGCTCTTTGGTCGCTGGTCCACTCCCACTCAGAAATCTCAGAAGCATCCTGAGTCATTTCCTTCTGCAAATCCCCACTCCGTGCCTTTGGCTGCCGCCCCTGGTAGCCTTGCATTGTTTCTGGGACAACTGCTCGGGAGCCCAGAGACCCTCCATCAGGGCAGGCTGGTGGGGGGGCTGGTGCACGTGTGTGTTTTATTTAATACTCACTGATCATATGTTCCAGGAACCCTTCCCAGTTAATAAAGACAGCATTAAGCTAATGAAAAAGAAAATCCTGCTTTTGTGATCTCAGGCCCATGAGGAGATGGGCAGGGGGTTCTGGTGGCCGCAGCTCTGTTCTTGGAAAAGAAACAGCTGCTAAAGTCCGGGGTCTGGACCTGTCAACAGCATCCCAGAGAGCCTGCTGCCCCCCACCTAGGGGCCTGGGAAGTGGATTGTTAATGTCACAGAGCTTAATTTGGGGGACCTGGTTTCCCACTTCCTGCCTCAGAAACAGATTCTAAGGAAATGCAAAAATGTTTAGGGTCTCAGCGGATGAAATCCATGAGAAGATGGAAGGTCCTGAGACAGGGGCTCAGGAGAGGGAAAGCTTAGAAGGCTTTGCATATACCGGTGCAGCCTCCTGGAAGGCTCCTCCCCTTCCCTTCCTTGCTCCTCCCCTTGCTCTTCCAGACTCATTCTTTTCCAGCCTCAGCCTCCCTCCAGAGGAGGCTTTCCCTCCCAGCTCCCATTCCCACCTTCCAAGCTCAATGAGGCCTGCCTGCACTTCCCTCCTGCAGATCTCCATATTCCTCCTCCAAGGCCTTATCCCCTCTTGTCACGAAAGAGCTACCTATGTGACTCGTGGCTGCATTACCAACCCTCCACCTGGAGTGTAAGCTCCATTAGCTGAGCACCTACTTTGTGCTGGCCTCTCTTGCAGGCACTGCGCCTGGGCAGTGAGCAGAACACACAGGCCGTTCTCACCCCGCACTCAGCTCACAGCCTGGGGACAAGCGGTCAGCACCTAAGTGTAACAAGCGTGTCAGATGACCGCCAGAGCTTTGGAGAAAAATAAAGCAGAGAGTGGAGAACAGAGGAGGCGCTAGGGGCGGGCAGGCTGGTAGTGCAGGTGGTGATCAAGGCCTGCCTGGCTGCGAGGTGACGGCCGAGCAGAGGTGGGAGGAGAGGAAGTGAGCCAAGTGAGCATCAGAGGGAGGGAATTTTGGGAGAGGAACCAAGGAGTTCAAAGGTCCGAAGGCTGGGGCTTCCTGCAGAAAGCCAGCGTGGCATCAGGGATGCACCAAGCAAAGGGCAGGGCAGGTCAGGAGGTGCGGTCTTGGAGGTACCTGGGGCCTTTGGAGGGACTTCAGCTTTTACTCTGAGCACTTCTTTTTAAAGCGGATTTCTTTAACTTTAAAAATGAATTGATTTAGAGGGATTTCTTTACCTGGCTGTACTTAACCAGTGGCGCTCCAGTGGTTAAGACTCCACACTCCCAATGCAGGGACACAGGTTTGATCCCTGGTCAGGGAAGTGAGATCCCACATACCACATGGCATGGTTTACATTCGATTTAGAGGAGAAAATATTAATCATAGCTATCGGGGTGACCATGAAAAAAGGTGAGCACCAAAGAATGGATGCTTTTGAACTGTGGTGTTGGAGAAGACTCTTGAGAGTCCCTTGGACTGCAAGGAGATCCAACCAGTCCATCCTAAAGGAGATCAGTCCTGAATATTCATTGGAAGGACTGATGCTGAAGCTCCAATACCTAGGGCCACCTGATTCGAAGAACTGACTCATTGGAAAAGATCCTGATGCTGGGAAAGATTGAAGGCGGGAGGAGAAAGGGATGACAGAGGATGAGACGGTTGGATGGCATCACCGACTCAACGGATATGCGTTTGAGCAAGCTTCAGGAGTTGGTGATGGGCAGGGAGGCCTGGTGTGCTGCAGTCCATAGGGTCACAAAGAGTCAGACTAAGCGAGTGAGCTGACTGATATGGGTGATACACCAGGATATGACCAAAACAGTGGTGTGAACCTCATGAATTATCACATGAATCCAGGACCGGTGTGCCAGGTCAAGAGCTGGTCTCCGGTGAACCTACCCGAAGCCCACTGCTGGGGTGGGAGGGGGAGTCCAGAGCCCCTTTTGCAAGTTCAGATCTAATTGAGAAGAACCTCTGCCCAAGCATGTGACAGTGATCAAAATAAACTTTGCTTCTATCAGAGTTAGATTGAGAACTTGCTTAGCCTCTGGTCATGGGCACGCTACCTGCCCTCTGGTTCTCACCTGGAGAATGACAAGGAAGTCCGTGGAGCAGTCACTGCCGCTCCTTGCCTTCTCACACCAGAGGGGGTTTCTTAGGGCGGTTAGCAGGTGTTTGGAAATGCTCACTTACTATCCTGAAATGAAACACTAATGGATAAGAAAACCTCCTTAAAACCATAATTCCCTGCCCCAGGAAAATTTTTAAAAAGAAAATAAAAAACATAGTGTCCTGGAGATCAACATCCAGTGATACAGAGAGAAATAAGGGTGGAACCTCCCTGGTGGTCCAGTGGTTAAGACTTCCCCTTCCAGTGCAGGGGGGTGCAGGTTCTATCCACAGGGGGCTGAGATCCCCCATGTCTCAGGACCAAAACATAAAACAGAAGCAACATGGTAACAAATTCAATAGTTCAAAAAATGGTCCTCATCAAAAATAATTTTTTAAAGAAATAAGGGAAGTCATTTGTACTCAAGGGTTCCTCAGGTGGCGATAGTGGTAAAGAATCCACCTGCTAATGCAGGAGATACGAGAGACGCAAGAGACACGAGGTCGATCCCTGGGTCCGGAAGGTCCCCTGGAGGAGGGCACGGCAACCCACTCCGGTGTTCCTGCCTGGAGAATCCCATGCACAGAGGAGCCTGGTGGGCTACGGTCTATAGGGTCACAAAGAGTTGGACATGACTGAGCACACACACGTATTTATACTCACAATAACATGTGCTCCAGTGGTAAACGTTTGAGCACAGAGCCCTGCACCCAAAAGCGCTGTCACTGAGGATGCAGCCCAGCAAATGCAGGACACGAGTGTGCAGTCCCGGCCACTCACAGAGCCATCGAGGCGCTGCAGCCGTCACGTGATTGCTCCAAACTGCAGAGCAACCCACGGTTAGGCTCGGAGTAAAACAAAATATAGGCTTCCCCAGTTCGCAGTCACTGCAGCCCTGGAAAAACGTTTATTAAAAGCATGGGAAAGATACTCTATTTATGTGACAAAGTGGAGTTAAGGGTCTCCACTCAGGTTATTATGAGTGGGTTTGTACTTACTTAAATATCTGGCAGAACATCTGAAGATCATTCGCGTCTAAGGTGTGTGGGATGGAGCAGGCACCTGCACCTCGCGTAGTGCCCCCCAGTCATGACTCTCCCAGTCACTCCAGGGGGCAGGCTGCTGCTTGGACTGCTAGTGGAGGTCGCCCTCCCTCAGAGAGCCAGGAGAGGGGGGTGCTAACAGAGATGCCTCTTCATAAACTGAAGTTCTTTTTTTGTTGCGATCTTAGTTCTCCAACCAGGGATCGAACCCCCGCCCCCTGCAGTGGAAGCGCAGAGTCTTAACCACTGGACTTCCAGGGAAGCCCTGCAGGTGCCCCTTTCAATTCTGTGTCCCAGGCGCCTCCGTCGCCTCACCCTACAGCTACCTGGCTCTCACAGAAACACGTGGCCAGGGGAGCGTATTTTGCCCTAAATCCCAGCTCGGCCATTGGTGGCTGTGTGCCCTTCAGGCAGTGGCAGCCCTCTCTGAGCGGCCTTTTTATCTGTTGCCCCTGCAGAGAACAGGCGCCAAGGGGGCCAGCAGAGGAACCGTGCAGAGTTGGCCCTCAGCAGCCCAAAGTGGGCGCGGTTACTACTCCCTGGGGCTGGGGGGTAGTGGGGGGAAAGCTAAATCCATCTTCAGAAACTCAGAGGAGGGTCTGCCTCTAGGGGAGCCAGCAGAGAAAGAACACAGGAGTCCGAATTTGCGCATAACAAGGGGGAGCCGGGATGAGCAAAGAATCTAGTGAAAGATGAGGAAGAAGAGCGGCTTCCCTGGCGGCCCGCCGGTGAAGAATCCGCCTGCCAATGCAGGAGGCATGGGTTCGATCCCCGGTCCGGGAGGATCCCACATGCCACAGAGCAGCTGAGCCCATGCATCAGAACTGCTGAGCCCGTGTTCTAGAGCGCAAGAGCCTTACCTACTGAGTCCGCTTCTCCTGAGTCCGTGGTCGACAACTGTAGAAGCCACTGCAGTGAGAAGCCTGAACACTGCACCTGAAGAGTGACCCCCGCCCCCTTCAACTAGAGAAAAGCCCTCATGGCAATGAAGACCCAACTCAGCCAAAGATAAATACATTTTTAAAAATAAGGCAAAGAAGTTTATAAAAGAAAACAGAAGTCTGACAAATACAAGACACAAAAGTAAACTGATATCAAAAAAACCAAATGTCGTCACAATAAATGGGAATGAAGCAAAATATCAAAGTCAGTGATTTTCTGACAGTTTTTTTTTTTTAAAGCTGGCTGAATGTGAAAGATTCCTAGTATAGAGAACAGTTGAAAAATACAGAAAAAGTATTCATGTGTATACTAACAATGAAAGCCGATGCAGCTGTATTAATATCAAGCAAATGGATTTTAAGGTGAAAATCATTACTAAAAAATTAGAAGTATAAAAGTGTTCATTTGAGCTAAACTTGCAAGTACCTAATAAAATAGCTTGGGCTTCCCTGGTGACTCAGAGGGTAAAGCATCCGCCTGCAATGTGGGAGACCGGGGTTCAAATCCCTGGTAGGGAAGATCCTCTGGAGAAGGAAGTGGCAAGCCACTCCAGGACTCTTGCCTGGAAAATTCCATGGACGGAGGAGCCTGCTAAGCTACCGTCCATGGGATTGCAGAGTCACACACAACTGAGCAACTTCACAATTAAATAGCTTAAATAAGAAAAAAACAAAATCTGCCCACATAACAAAAACTCACCCCAGTGTCTTGTTTGGGCAAAGTCCACAGGAGCAAGTATGTCACTGAATCCAGGCTGAGGGAGTGGGTGAGGTAGTCCCCAGGGGTCCAGGCTTTGTACAGTGGAGTTTGCGTTGCCAGAGATGCCAGCCGGCAGCTTCAACAGCAGAGAGCTGTCTCCACCTCCCGTTAGCGGTCCACAGAGCCGGGGCAGCCCAGGGGCCCAGGCCCCGTCCGTCTTGTTGCTCTGCCAGCCCCAGTGCTGCCGTTACCATACAATCCACGACGGCTCCTCACCCCCTCCACGCCTGCACTCCCCCACCAGGAAAATCAAGGGGGAGGGAAGAGGGGAGGACCCCCTGCCCTTTAAGAGCACCGCGGATACAGCGATACGACATCACTGCTGCTCAGATCCTATTGGCCAGATTTCTGAGTCAGGAAGTCACACCTTGTCACAAAGGGAGCTGGAAGATGTGGCCTTGATTCTCAGCCACTCCTGCCTAGCAAGGCAAGAAACAAAGGAAGAAAAGGAAGAAAAGAAGGACGGAGCATTTTTCTGAGAGAGAAGGGGAGAATGAATGTACGGAGCCAGTCAGCAGTCTCCATCACAGCCAGCGGGGCTGTCACTCATCCCAGGCCTTCAGTTCAGTTCAGTCACTCAGTCGTGTCCGACTCTTGGCAACCCCATGGACTGCAGCATGCCAGGCCTCCTTGTCCATCACCAACTCCCAGAGATTACTCAAACTCATGTCCATCGTGTCAGTGATGCCATCCAACCGTCTCATCCTCTGTCATCCCCTTCTCCTCCCGCCTTCAATCTTTCCCAGCATCAGGGTCTTTACCAGTGAGTCAGTTCTTCGCATCAGGTGGACAAAGTATTGGACTTTCAGTTTCAGCATCAGTCCTTCCAATGAATATTCAGGACTGATCTCCTTTAGGATGGACTGGTTGGATCTCCTTGCAGTCCAAGGGACTCTCAAGAGTCTTCTCCAACACCACAGTTCAAAGGTATCAATTCTTTGGCTCTCATCTTTCTTCATAGTCCAGCTCTCACATCCGTACATGACCACTGGAAAAACCATAGCCTGGACTAGACAGACCTTTGTTGGTAATGTCTCTGCCTTTTAATATGCTGTCTAGGTTGGTTACCCACTACTCTTTATTCCTGATGTCATCATTTTATTTAATCCTCCAAGCCCCTACCCCCGCAAAGTGGGTACCATCCCACTTCATTTTATAGAGGACATGTTTGAGACTCAGAGAGGTTAATTAATTTACTTAAGGTCACACAGCTGCAGTGTAAACTGCTCTGTGCTGTGTGCCAGACACCTGGCAGGAAGGAGGTGGACTTAGGAGTTTGAAACACTGTCGTTCTGCACCCCCGAGCTGGTCAGAAGAGACTGGAGTCCACCAAAGAAGACTCAGGCACACCACCCCCATACGCTCTGCTCCCCTGAAAGTTCCCACCAGTGTCTGAAGCAGCAGCCCCAGCACGTTAATGAGCAGCTCTGTGCGCCAGCAGCTCTCCCGACCTGATGGATGGGCCTCATTAGCCCAGGCCGCCAGACACCTGAGCAGTGTGAAATACAGTGACAGGACAGGGGGCTTCTGCTGTCTCAGCTGACAGTGTTGTTAATGTGTCCATTTTAGCAGGTCATTTGTCTCCACCCCTCCACAAGTGAGAAATCCGCCCGGGCTCTGCAGTCGCCAGGCCTGGGAGGGAGGCTGCTGAGACAGTCTCTTCCCCTTTGCTCATTTCCTCCCAGAAAAATAAATTACATTGTTTAAGGAGGGACTGGATTGGCCAGGCAGCCACCAACATCCATCTTTGCAGAGAATGAAAGGCTCAGCCAGGCTGAGGGGAGCAGGGTGGGGAAGCTGAAAGGCATTAAAGAGATGGCATCTGTTGCCCATGATGGATCGTTTTCTGCTTCTTTTGGGCAAAAGAGGAAAAGATGTGTCCGTTGAGGACTTTGCTTTGAGAAATTCCCCTTCCCTCTTCTCCCTCCCTTCCTTTTTTCATTCATTCCACGAATATTAAGTGCCCACTGTGGGCCAAGAGGCATGCTAGGAAGCAGTGAACATGACTTTCCAAGCTCAAACCCTCCTCAGGGCCTTTGCACTTGCTGCGTCTTCAGCCTTGACTACCTCCCCCCACATTTGCATGGCCCCTGCCTTCCCATTCTCTGGGGCCTACTGAAATGTCATCCCTCCAGAGAGGCCTTGCCCTGACCCAGCTTTCTAAAGCACAGAGCCCCCAGAGGCAGGAAAGTGTTATTGTGCTCCTGGAACCAAAAGGACACTTGTATAGTTTTGACCCTGTGGGCAGAGAACCTCACAGAGCAGCAGATCTACCACAGAACTGGGGGCATTCACACACATTCATCAAGCATCCTCTGTTCACTCAGTAAATAACTGAAGGCCAGTGACTGTCTTGAGGATGCTCAGTATCTTTTAGCTGTAATGAAGACTTAAACACTTGCTAACCTCACAAGATTAGAAGTAGGTGTATCCTAGGTCGTTTCAGTGGGTCCAAAAATTCACCAGGTATCCCTTTCCATCATTTTGCTCTACCTTTCTAATCATCTTTGGCTTTTTCATTTCTGATAGTTCATTTCTCATGATCTCAAAACAGCTGCCACAGCTCCAGACATCACACACTAACATGCCATCATTCAAATGAAAGGGGAAAGTAAGAAGGAAAGAGTTCTCAGGTGCTTCTCTCTAATCATGGAGGAAAATCTTTCCCAGACACGCCCAGCAAACTTCCTCATTGACTTCAGTGCTCACAAGTCAGGAGGGATACAGGACAAATCCCTGACAAACAGGGCTGGAGTTGTCGTAGCTTGCTTACATGATCATAATTCGCCCCTTACTTACCTCTCTGGCACAGTGCTGCCAAATTCAGGGTCCTGGAAGTGGGAAGGAGGAGGATGGCAGGCATCAGCTTCAGTCTGTGGTTACATTTTCTGGTGATGAACACGCAGGCAGGTTTTTTCCCTGGAGTCAGACAGAATCTCTGTGCGCCCCAGTCTCCTCATTTGTAAGACAAGATAGACATGGTATACAGCAAGTATTATCTGCATTTTTCAGACAAGCAGCAGAGTAAATCACGGTCACCCAGCTAATGAAGGCAGAACAGAGCTTTGACAAGGGCAATCTTAAACATTTAACCTTCACACTATGGAAGTGTTTCACAAATTTCTTCTTTCACATGAGCAATTTCTGTAATCAACATAGCACTTCTTTTACACCAATTACTTCTGCTGCATCTGCATGCTGCCTGTCCTATTATCTACTTCATGTTTCCCTTTCAGTCAACACGCTTATGTTTAAAATGAAAAACCTCATTGCATGACAGTAACACAGAGCATGCATCACCTGCTGTAAAGAAAAGATAAAAAGTCTGGGACCAGCCCTATCTGTTCACATGGAAACTAGTGAGTGTCAGGGAGGGGTTGAAGACATGGTAGCATCTGGCCAAGACTTTCTATCTGAAACGTCATGACTGAGAGCACATTTTTAAGTCGGAATCGCTTTCCTGTTGTGGATTTGATGCCATGTCGGTGCACCGCTTCCCTGAGGCTCAGATGATAAAAAATCTGCTTGCAGTGCAGGAGACTCAGGCTTTATCCCTGGGTCGGGAAGATCCCCTGGAGAAGGGAATGGCCACCCACTCCAGTATTCTCACCTGGAGAATACTGGACAGAGGAGCCTGACGGGCTATGGTCCGTGGAGTCACACAGAGTCAGACACAGCTGAGCGACTAACACTTTGAGCACATCAAGACTACGGCGGTCCCAACGGAGGGGAAAGGGGCCAGTCAGTCCACATGTTGGACAGGGCAGGATAAGTCATCAGAACAGGCTCAGAAGGGGACTTCCCTGGTGGTCCAGGGATTAAGACTCCACACTCCCAATACAGGGGTTCCCCCATGCCACCGGGCAAAGCCAAAAAATAAATAACAGGCTCCAAAGAACTAGAAAGGATGCCCAGACTGGTGGGTACTGATCACATCCGGAGGGAGGGAGGGGTCCACCATGATGTTTTGACTCGGGGACTTCTCCTAAGGCTCTCACCACAGGCATGGGATCCGGGGGGGCTGCAGGAGGGGCCAGCAGAGCCATAACCGTGTGTCCGCGGTTCTGTGTTCCAGCACAACATGCCGTTCTGGAGGATATCCTGCCACGCGGACCTGGAGGCGCTGAGGCACGCCCTGGAGCTGGAGTATTTATAGCAGCGCCCGCGGCCTCCCCACCTGCCGTCAGAGCTGCAGCCACCAGCCCAGGCCCCTGGCTTTCCCCGCCGCCCCCGCCAGATGCTGGACAGCAGGCAGGGTCCCTCCAGCCAAGAGGTGTCCAGTGACCATCTCAGAAGTTGTCCTTTCGGCCCCACCGCGGGTCCTGAGAAACGGGGCACCCAGCAGTGGCTTTGGAATATTTAACTTTGGGGAAGAGGGCTGGCTCAGAGTCCAGACTTTTCTACAAGACTTACAGAACAAAAGCAAGGAATTGCTGATTCGGGGCAGGGCTGGTGATGAGAAGGGAACAGGCTTTTTTTTTTCCACTTTAATTTATGGACTACTCTCATTACTCCACTATTATGCTCTTGTACCTGTGTTGCTGGTTTTCTTAGCTGGTGGTTTTTTGGTTTTCTCAGCAGGCACGTTTGGCGGCGCACAGTCCTAGTTGAAGCCTCTCTGCTCCGAAGGCAGTTCGGGGCTGTGGGGAAGACTGTTGCTTGTTTTGTTTTTAAGGACCTAACCCGACGACATGTGGACAGTGCACGTGCCTTCAACTGCCATCTTGTTTTCTGGGAAGCGGGGACCCTGCGGAGGAGGTGGTATTTTGTGACAGAAAGAGGCGTTAAATAAAACCACGTTTACATTTTGAAGTGGGATAGGGTGTCACTACTTGATGACCACCTTTGCAGCTTCTGAATATGTTGGTCTTTTCCTCTTTCATTGCAGAAGTATCAAATCCAACTCAAATTGGCTTAAGCCAAAAAAAAGAAAAGCATCTCCAGGAACTTTAGTCCATATATGTTTTCAGGCATAGCTGGATCCTGGTGGTCAAGTGACTTTCCCCTGGGTGGTTTTACTTCTCAGGCAGGCTCTTCCCTGTTGTGGCAAAAATGGCTCCAAGAATCTTTCAGCAAAACCACACCAGTAGAAAGAGCTGCTTCTGCCTCGAGGTTCCAACAAGATCCCAGGATTGTGTCTCATTAGCCAGACCTGAGTCATGACCTACCCATGGAGCTGGATTTAGGGTTCAATCTCTCATGAGCAGAAAGTTGGAGAGAGCTGGTTCCCCAAAGGAGGAATCAGTGAGCTACTACTAAAAGAATTTGGGGGGGGTGCTGTGGAAATAGAACTGATCTCCATGCCAATGGTAGGAGTTTGTTTTCCAGGGGATGAACCGAGGATTTGGTGTAGGAAACAAGAAGGGACATCTGGAGAAGTTCCAAGGACATCTTCAGCTCTGTTGCTGCCCACAGAGTTCCAAGCAGAGCCTGGATCCATTTGATTGGATGCTAAGCCTCAGTATAAGCTCCTCCCTCTATTCATGTCAGTGAAATCCAGGGTCTTCAATTGGCTGGCATCCATGTCAGTGGAGATGGGAAAACGACCTGATGATTGGAGTCTCAGAGCTAGAATCTGATACATAGAAAGCCATCACCAACAGTGAGATAGACTCCTCACTAGGCTCTGAGCTCCCTGGGGGCAGGTGCTATTTGCTTCATCACTGTTTCCCCCAAAATCAAGCATGGAATGGTGTTCTTGGAATCAATCCACAGAGTGGATGCTAACACAAATTGGAATCCCATTATAGATGAGGTTCCTATGACAAACCTACACAGCATATTAAAAAGCAGAGACATTACTTTGCCAACAAAGGTCCACCTAGTCAAAGCTGTGGTTTTCCCAGTAGTCATGTATGGATGTAAAAGTTGGACTATAAAGAAAGCTGAGCGCCAAAGAATTGATGCCTTTGAACTGTGGTGTTGGAGAAGACTCTTGAGAGTCCCTTGGACTGCAAGGAGATCCAACCAGTCCATCCTAAAGGAGATCAGTCCTGGGTGTTCATTGGCAGGACTGATGTTGAAGTTGAAACTCCAATACTTTGGCCACCTGATGCAAAGAACTGACTCATTGGAAAAGACCCTGATGCTGGGAAAGATTGAAGGCAGGAGGAGAAGGGGACAACAGAGGATGAAATGGTTGGATGGCATCTCTGACTCGATGAACATGAGTTCGAGCAAGCTCCAGGAGTTGGTGATGGACAGGGAAGCCTGGCATGCTGCAGTCCATGGGGTCACAAAGAGTCGGACATGACTGAGCCAATTGAACTATAGATGAGGTAGAAAGAAGGATGGAAGTATAATTGATATCATAGTCAGTAAGGTAATTGGCTGGGTGAATGGAATATTTGTAAAAATGGATGAATAGACTTTTAAATAGTTGGGTGGTGGGTGGCTGGCTGGTTAGGTGATTGGAGAATGGAGAAATAAATGGGTGGATAACTCTTGAGATGACTAGATAGTTGGTTATATAGATTATGAGTGGTTGGATGGTTGGATAGATAATTGATGACCAAATGGTGAGATGGATGGGTGGATGCCTGTCTGGATGACTGAATGGTTGCATGGTGAGATGGAAAGATGGATAGATGGTTAAGTGGGTAAATGAGTGGCTAAATGGATGGATGGGTATTTGAATGAGTAATTGGATAGAATGACTAATGGTTGATGGGTGATTGATATGTGATGGTTGGATATGTGGTTGCAAGAATGGTATAATGGTTAGATGGACAGACAGTTAAATGGAGGTAAAGAATCCCCAGAGTTAGCTGCTGAAAACATGGGTCAACCTCACTATAATCTGCGGACTTAGGTTTCTTCTAATGAGTGGAGGAGCTGTACTGGATGAATCGACTTCTGGCTGGAGGAGAAAAAGAGACTGGAGGAGAGCCACCCAGGGAATCAGCGACGTGAACACTCCTGGATCCTCCCTGTTTTCCCATTGATACCCTGGCCACTTAGATCTTGTAATCATGTGCTAGCCACCCTTCCCTTCCAGCCACCATCACAACCTGCTGTCAGAGAACAGAGTTGTGGTTGCCTAGGGTGGAGGGGAGAAGGATGGGCTGGGAATCTGGGGTTGGTAGATGCAAACTACTACATTTAGAGTGGATAAACAACAAGATCCTAATGTCTAGCACAGGGGACAATATTCAGTATCCTGTGATAAACCATACTGGAAAAGAATGTAAAAAAAGAATGTGTATACGTGTATAACTGAGGCATTTGGCTGATTCGCAGGGATTGGCACAGCACTGGAAATCAACCATACTTCAATAATTTGGAGGAAAAAAAATAAAATAGTCCTATCTCCAAATACTAAAAAAAGAAAAAAAAAACTGCTGTCAAGAAAAATTTTGTTTAGAGTTTAACAAAAAGTAAATTTACTTATAAAAAAAGTTTTATTTTAAAAGGCTTCTGTTAGTGGCACTAATAGTAGACTCTCAGCTGTCCACACAGAAAGAGGTTTGGGGTGAAACAAACCTGTCCCTTAATCCTGAAATTAACTGCCTAGGTGGTCACTACTTCTCTGCTGTGATAACTGAATGTCAAAGGCTAGTGCTGACAGTCCACAGTTTGTAAGGGTTTCGTTCTGAATTCTAGATGACTCGAAGCTCTCAATGGGTAAAGACACTATCTTTCTCATTCTGAAAGACAGAAGGCAATTAATGAATGTTGGATGATGGATGGAAGGGTGGATGGTGGGTAGATGGATGGATAAATGGATGGATGGATGGATGGGTAGCTAAGATTCAGTGGTCCCAGACTGCTTGCCTTCAATGTTTATCCAACAGTATCTTGCAGCCCTCTGGAACACTCTTAGAAGTAGAGTAACTGGACTATGCAGTACTCCCCAAAAAAAGCCCTTGGCCTTCTGGAAGTCTGAGCGTGACACCAGAAGTTCCTGGCCAGCTCAGCAGAAGGACAGAGAATCAAAGAAGTCTTCAGGTCAACCTCCAGGGCTGAAGGTATTTGTTTCACAATGGATTTAGAAATCAGAGAGAGAATATGGGGATTTTCCAGTTGCAAATGGCATAAATACCATCAAAGTGGCTTTAAAAAAAAAAAAAAAAGATGTCTTTGGTCTACTTGACTGAAAGGTTCAGGAATGTGTGATCTCAGACCCTATCACCACCAACACCCCAAATGCAGAATTCAACAAGTGTCTTTAAATTTTTTTTTAATTCAGTCTCTCTGTCTCTATCCCTGGACACTGTTCCCTCTAACTTGGCTTCATTTGTGTTATATATGTTTGGGGTAAAAGATGTGGCAGGAGTGATTCCACAAAGATTTCTATTGATTGAACATTGGTTAATTCTTAGATGGATAATTGCTTAGGAAAGATAGGTTAAATTTATTACGTGAGATTAAAATGTCCTTGTGGTTGAAATATTTTGAGTTCATTCTTCCTCAGTTATTTGCAGCCAAAAGCATCTCAACATATATAGCACATAATAAATAGTAGTAGTACATCACATGGGCTCAGATGTCTACTCAGAAAATGAATCATTTTTTCCATCAGATATTAATCAAGTATCTACAATGCATTGGCAGTGTCCCCGGCACAACAGACACACATTTGAATAAGATATTGTGCTTGCAAAAAAAAAAAATGAGAAATCTGACCACCTTAAAAAAACTTACTAAAACACGTAAGTAAGGCTTCCCTGGCAGCTCAGTGATAAAGAATCCACCTGCCAAGGGAGGAAATGCTGGTTCGATCCCTGGTCTGGGAAGTTACTACATGCCGAGGGGCAACTAGACCCGTACACTACAACTTACTGAGCCTGTGCTCTAGAGCCCAGGAGCCCCAAATACTAAGCCCACTTGCCCTAGAGCCTGTGTCCACAACAAGAGAAGCCACTGCAATGAGAAGCCTGTGCACCTCAACTAGAGAGTAGCCCCCACTCCCCCCAACTAGAGGAAAGCCGGTGCAGCAACGAAGACCCAGCACAGCCACAAATAAATTATAAAAATAACATGAGGCAAAAGTCAAATTGAAATTCAAATCGCAGACAACAGCAAGAGTTAATCCCCCTTAATATATAAAAAGCTCCTAGAAATAAATAATAGGCCAACAACCCAAATAAAAAATGATCAAAGGCCATGAACATTTTTGGATTTTTTTAAAGGACAATTGGTTCTTAAACTTATACA